ATCTGTTGAGCAGATCACACCTTCAGCTAGCGCTGTCATGAATCCACGTGTGCTTATCTTATTCTGTTTATCTCTTACAACTCACCAAATGCCTACTTACGTGACACAAGGTTGCTGCTTGTGCATTACCGACATGAAACACAAGTGAGAAACTGCTTGACTACACAGCTTTTTTTCTGAAATCTTTTGAGGTGCCAACTCTTGTAACTATCACAATTATTTACTTAAGATTCAGCAAAATTCAGTGACCAGCTTGCATAATCCTTTTTTTTCCTCTAGGTTGAACACTCACTTTAAAAGATCTTAACAGTAATCCTAGATTAATATATCCCTTGAGTTTCCATGGCAGTTTTAGACCTTCCTTTCTACTCATCTGTGAAAATGACGTTTTACTCATTTTCATAAGTACATATCCGTTCTGATGCTATACATATTGTGTATATGTACGTATCTTGATATTTAAAAAATACCTTTTTTTTTTTTTATTTTTGACAAAAATGGATCATTATTAGGTTTAGTAGCAGTATCATTATCTTCTTTCCAGGAAAAACTCATTCAACATCCTCCTGAGGCCAGCAGACAGTTCCCTCTATTCAAGTACTACTTTGAAGACCACTGTCAGAGGTCGTGAGAGTCACAACATGTACCGAGTAATGTGCAGCTGGCACAGGGAAGCAAAAAGATGCTTTATGCTTCTTTGCAACTTTTTGTCATCTTACAATATCGGCACTAAATTAGAAACCCTTATTTTCATCAGATCTGTATTTCACACATGTGGAGATGGTAAGCGTGATAAATTAGAGAACTGGGATGATAAACTATCATTCCCTCCGTCAGCCATACTTCTGCCCATCTAAGACTTGAAAAAAACCCAAATGCCTTGACATCTTTGCAGAGATGCCCAGGGCTAGACAGACAAAATTCACTGTTGTTCTGCTTGTTCCACATGAAAAAAAGTCTTTATTTTTAAGGCTGATTACCTTGAGGGCCTTTTATTATCACTGACATTTCTTTCCTTTATCATCTTCTCATCCCCCAAAAGGGGGATGCACAAGAAGATACCTGGTTTTACTCTGGTACATCAGGCACTTTTATGTGAAACAAATTTTCTGAAATGTGTTCACGCAAAATTTTATTACATTTGCGACTGCACTGATTCTGGTCAGTAAGAGCTTGATAAAAATAAAATAATTGCTGTTAAATTAGGACCTTCTCCACAATCTCACTGAGAGATAATAAATTTAAGTAAATGTTTTAAAGGCATTCCACTACAGAGCTTTCCTTCTGCAAACATCAAACCTCATGACTGTCTGGGAAATGAAAGACCAATAAAAAAAATGCACGTCAAAATAAATATTCTCAAATGTACTTCCTAGTGTGTTTATCAACAGGGCTGTATGCATGTTGGCAATCTTAGTTGTGCGGAATGACTAATCAAAGTAGCAAGAGCATCATCCATCTCAATTTGTCATTTTGAACTTTTTGTGTTCATAATTTAGCATTTATGTAAACTCTTGCATACAATAAGAGGCCCTTGTAAAGGTAGAGACCCCCCTGCACTGTTGTTAGATGTAAACATACTAGGATATATATATTCTGTGGAAAAAAAAAAATCCATTAGACAATTACATAGTTTGGCAAAAATGCTTATTTTCATATCTTTTGTGTTGAGCTCCTCCATTCAGCAAAGAATTTAAGAACCTAGTTTGTGATGCAGCACATCACTTCCCCCTTCAAGCTTACATGTTTAGGTTTTGGGTTTTTTTTCTGTTGAAGAAAATGTGCGTAATGAAAGTAAAAAAGAGACATAGAGCTGTATCATGATCACCCAGGAACCTGGAACCATTCCTTAGCCTAAGCATAAAAAGTAAATGAACAGTGTATTTCAGGATTAGATATTTCAGAAGTTCCATTTCCCTGAATAATTTTAATACCTGATATTTATGGAACCCACAAACTGCTTCACATTGCTAAGAAAAATTATTAGTACACTAGAAGAAAAATTTTACCCTGATGAATTCAGTGAAATAGTACAGTACTAGCATTTCACATGAAATGCCATTAGTATCTTCAGGAAAGCAACCACAAAAAGCCTTGCAACTACACCCTGCAGAGACAGATGTTTTAATCAGTGATACAGGCACATTCATCCAATTTTTTTTTTTTTCCTAAGCTTGTATCAACTTAAACCACACATGAATCTGGGCATTAAGAACAGCAAGAAGGCTGTGGAAATGTAGAAAGTTAAAAATTTTTGTTGTTCTTTGTAAAGTTTATAGAAATTCCTGCCCCAAATTATTTTACTGAACTTATGAGGATGCACGTACTGGTTATTGATTGGGTTCTCAATCTTTCACCCTAAACCTCCTTGTGTGTTTTGCACAGCTACAGAGCCTGGGGATTCTGGGGCTGTTAAAGGATTGTGAGAAACAGTTCCTATGGAGAACCTTGGTACAGTAAAAAAAACAAACAAAAAAAAATTCACTGGGGATTATTACACATCAGTGTAATTTAAAGATCTTTAAGGCACGACAGTGGTAGAGCTCAATATCTCCATCAAAATTCTGCCTACAAACTTAAGACCAGACTCTGATCTAATATCCAACAGCTCCATTGACATCAACTGTGTATTTCTAAGAAAACAAATAAATTTAAACTTTTAAAAAGTAACTTACACTTAAGCAAGTGTAAAGTAAATAAAGACGTCTCACTGAAAGCAAACATTTGACATCACAATAAATAAATTTCATCAGGTCTGCATAGGAGTTCACACTTTCAAACTCATGTTTCTTGTATATCCACTAGTTAAAATTTAGTTCTACCTGAGTATTAAAGATATGAGATTCTCTGCCAGAAAATAAAAAATAATGATTCTGAAAAGACCAACTACTTATGCCTCATAACAACTGTAATTATGCAAAAATTGAGGGCCAAATCCACCTCTTATGATGTCAGCAGAATAAAGGCAGAATCTGTGGAATCATAGCTGTATGGTATGAAACTATTTGATACAGTATTTTTATAGAAAATAAAATTGTTTTAAAATTCTCCTGACATAATATACAGCTACACACCTAAGTTATCCAGACATGTGCAGAGTTGCAAAATCATTCAAATAGAATTCGTATAAAAAGCAAAAATTGTCATTAAGAAAAGGAATTTAGCCATTTGTGCAAAGTAATGTTCTTTCCCTTCAATTTGCTCTTCTTTAGTTTTCATTTTATAAGTTAAATTTAAAAATTAGTCAACACACTGAATTAAGTATGTAGATTTTCATTTAAATAAATCAGTCAACAATTTTTTTATAAAGTATTTAACACTTCATTGTAGAAACATAGGCAAAATGACTATTATAACCAAAATGAAAAATACTGTTCAATTTAAAAAAATGTACTTAAACAAGAACCTGAAAAAGTTTATGATATGCATAACATTGTTCAAGCAAAATTGCACTAGTATTACATAAATCAAGAGTTTTATAAAGGCCCCAATATGGCAAAGTTTAGAAATAGGTAGTATGCATGCACAATAGTACAACAAAAATCTTTTATAAAACAGCAGTTATTTTTGTAATGCTTGTACAAAGGGAATAAAGAGCAACCACAAACATATTTAATCTGTTAGGTTAATATATGATGATAGCTAAAAGTCAGTCATGTCTAGCAGAGGAAGGAAGAGTCCTCCACAGTATATGTGTGAATAAGTCTTTTGTGCCTTTAAAGTTATGTATAAAATACTTCGATTCTGTTCAAACCTGAAAGAAATTGTAATCTTTATTTCCATCAAAACTAAAAAAGGTGAGTCAGATTTTTTCCTCTTAGCAACAACAGAAAGCAGACCAGGTCAGAGCAAGTGCTGGAAACCGATACTGATGCTTTTCACTTTCGATAATTGGATTTTGATATTCAACCCAGACTATTGAAAATTGGACATAGGTAAGGTCTCACTAATATGCAATTTGGTTATGTTTTACCTCCGCACTATCACAGTTTATCTTCATTTAAAGAAACTGCTGTGTTTTGTATTCTTTAATACCTCTAAACAGGTATGACTTTGTTGTGATTGTCAAAACTGAATGCTGTGATCATCTGTGTGTGCTTCGGGTTTGGGGTCTGGTTTTTGCCCTACTGCTTGGTATGTGTTGGGGAATTATTAATCCATAAGTAATGCATGTGATTAAGTGAATAAATATATAATGCATGTGTAGGCAATGCCCTCTTGTGCTCTAGGGTGGCTACTGTCCTACAGGACTGTTGGAGTTCATATGCTTTGTCCCACAGCAAGTAAGGTTTCAGCTTCCAAGATATATTGTTACTATGTTCTATAAGGTTTTAATAAATACAAAGCTTGTTTACATGGTATATATGTTTAGTATATCATGTACAGTCACTGAATTTCTGAAACATAATCATTGTGTTCATGCAGATCATTAGATGTTTCATTTCTATAGTCTTGTTTACTTCTTGGCAACCTAAAGCTAATTTAAAAGCAAGTTATGTTTGTTTGTGAAAAGTTATCTAGCTTTATCAGGATCTGAAGAGAAATTCTAATGGGCACAAAGAAGAGAGTAGACCATTCAATCATTCTTTCACCATTTAAAATAAACAAAATTACACACTGTACTATAGCTTCCAGACTACATAATGAAAAAGTGCAGATACCATCTTCATCGATTAAGTAGAACCAAAAAAGTTCATAGAAAATAGATTGCTCATTTTCACGCTACAAACGAATATGTTGTTTGCAATTTTAACAAATTTAAAGGTGTGTTATTTCAGCAGCATTGTTGTAAATTGTACCGTAGTGCAGTTTCTTTTTCATAAAAATACCTTACAAATGGTCAGTCAAAAGTCATCAGCAAAAGAAAAACCCAGAAAACAATCAACCAAACAAAAAACAGAGGTAATGCTGATGCCAAAACAATTATAATACTGTTGGTACATAGAAAAGTAATCCTTATATTTTATACATTTATACAGAGTATAAAAGGTAACAGCAGATTATGCCACAGTCTCCCTTATCCCAATATCTATTTTCTTTGGAAGGAGTTCTCTTCTTTCATCAACACTTGCTAAGGAGTTTCGACAGTTTTGTCCATCCATGTATAACTTTGCATATACTGGATTGGCGTAATTTGTTGGCTGTAGAGAAATTAAGCATACGTTAGACCAGTTGGATTAAACCAAAATAAAGGTTTATGGAAATGGAAATGGTTTTGTTAAAGCAAGAACAAGTACACATAAAATATAGTTGGTCATATTTAATAGATACCTGGACTTCTGCAAACCTGATGAGTTAATTATTTAGTTAAAAATTAAATTCATGATGAGACATGCTATTAAAATAATCAATGACATGACATGCAGCATATTATGATATTAAAACCATATAAAACAATGACAGAAATTAAAACAAAAACCTTGAAAAATGTCTCTGAAGTTGACTTGTCCACCTTATTACACTGGAAAATTTCAGAATAGATATGAAGAAGTTTATAGAGAAGGTGCACTGTGAGACCATGTGACAAGTTTAACGGTAGAAAACTGCAACCAACAGTTTCCATATATTACCTGTTCTAAGACATCAGCATCCCATCAATAGCTGACCAAGTTTTCGAATTCTGTGGCCCAAATATACAACATGATTTGACCAAAAATTCAATACTTTCGTAATGTAAATTAAACTTTAATAATAAACCAGCATAACTGTTAATATATCATAGTAGCTACAGATTGAGAGGTATTTTCTCAACAATTTTGGTAGTTTGGACTGTAATGAAAAAAAAAATCTGTTGAAATGAGTGGTACTTCAGTATAGGACAAGTCCATTTTTAATTCTGTAAAGCACTTCAAGTATACGAGAAATCTCCTGAGTCTGACAGCACAGAAGGATGCATAACATGGATGAAAACTCACTGTCCTATCGCTCATGCTAAGGGGAAAGCACTATCCAAGGTTTATCATGTAAACATCTCCACTAATTCCTTCATACATTGTGCTTTTATTGTCTCCTGGAAGACCTTTGCTACCCAACAAGATGTTCAGCTTTTTACCTACAATATCTGGAAAGGCTACCTTGTGAAAATCTTCCTCTTTCTTATAACTAATGAAACAGCACAGCTTTGCTTAAACAAATACTTAGTGGAACACCAGTAAGCTATAAAATAGGTAAATTCATTTACTTGGTGTGCATAAGAAGTGGCTAAACTTTAAATCACCCAAAGCAGAAGTGGGTAGGTTTTCTTGCAAATATCTTGCATGCACCCTGGTTAACAAGGAATGAATGATGTCTAAAATCTTAGTTCTTCCTTTCCCTTTTGACCAATATGATTTCTGATCCCAGGATTCAGATATTCCTTAGGCTGGCGAGCTACGGCAGCTACTCATTTAGTTAGTTATAAGCTGCCTATTCTATTTATAAGAGATGACAAAGCAATTGCCTGGTGTTTCACACTGTCCTGGCACAGAGGCAGAAAAAGGTGAGTCACATTTATTTAAAAAAAAAAAAAAAAAAAAAAAAAAAAAAAAAAAAAAAAAAAAAAAAAAAAAAAGAAAGAAAGAAGCTGCTACTCTTCTGTATTAATGGAACATAAATATGCAATCAACTGCTGTAGTAATTTATGAGAGCAAACTCTCAGTTATACCTGTCTTCGCATTTGTCATAATGACTATAATCAGAAATTTAGGAAAACAGAAATTTAGTTTTATTTCAGTTGAGAGGACTTTTTATTTAATTGACAATCATTATTAAGCATGATAACCACAACAGAACAGAGACACTTGGCATCTTTATAGTGCCTTATGGAGTTATTAAAATGACATATAACAGTAGGGTCTGTCTCATGATACCTCTTTGAGTGGGTACTGACAGCATAAGGCAGTACAGAGAGGTACGGAAAGTAACTGGAGTGACCTGAATAATAGCAAGAGTTAATGTTAGAGATGGGCGTATATTCTAACTTTCATCATCCATGGTTTTGCGCTCCATCAGAAATATCATTCCCTATACAAATTGTTAAACTTCCAAATACAACTTACTACAATCATGCAAGAACACAAATGCGCAAAAGATGAATAGATATACTGAGGCACATGAAAATGAATGTCTTATCGATGTCCCTTTTAAATATTTTAAATGTCAGTGTTTGCAAACATCATGATAAATTGTAGTCAAAATCTGATGTTTTAAATATTAACTATTTTATGATAAAAATTGATTGAAAGCCAAACAATCAAAAAACGCATTGCAAATATTAAAGGAAATTGTTCATTTTAGCGTGTATCGAATTTCTCCATAATAAAAGAACTTGTTTTCATGTATTTGGGAACCTCTTTCAGTTTGATAAACCAGTACATGCCTGTAATTACATATAAATTGCAAATAAATAAAGAATGCTACGCTAAACTTATATAATAATATGGAAAAGCATCACATTGCTTACTGGTTTTGCATTCCTTTGCAAAGACACATATGCAGTTTTAGATTGTGTTACAATGATGGGTACAGAAGAAAATTTGTATGCAGAGAGGAACCCTTTATTTCAAATAGAAAATGTATTATTTACTGTCATTCTTCTTGCCATTAAAAGAAGAAAAACAAAATTAAGAAGAAACAGAAAATGCCTCTATTCAAAAATGACAGACAAACTTTCTTTAGAAAGGGGCTGTGGTGGAATGAAATGGATTTGAATCATCATTTCTCACCCCTGTTGATAGTGGTCCTTTCAAGTCAGAGTTTAGGTAGATTGATGGAGCTGTGTGGGGAAGCTTGAATGCAGTGGGCCCTCCCCCTATGTATCTGGCCTGTATAAACAGAAAATTTTAGTTTCTGTGCTAATAGAGCATTTTCCATGTGTACTTATCAACACTGTTAAATAAACAGTGCACCCATTAAAAACATTCTTTTCGAGTGATCTACAATTACAAAAAAAAAAATCTACTTACAGGTATTCTTCAGCATGAAAAATTCTCGCATTCAATATGAGAATAAAATTCAGCATTTAAAAATAATTTTGTATTAAGGATTAGAGCCAGACTTCACAATAAGCATTGGCTCAGTCACTCTTCCTCCAGTGAGTAACTCCATTTTCAGCTTACCTCTTGTATTCAGCACACTGACTATGTGATTCAGCGATGACATTCCTAGAGCTAACAGTAATCCGGTTATTGCTTTGTCAGAAATGCCACAGAATGATGGCTGCCCTTTGGTGTATGTCTGATTATGGAGCTCTAGGAAAGATATCGCAGCATTACCCCGCTCATCCCACGTCACATCACTCAGGGAGTTCAATCACTGAAGAGAGAAGTGACAGCATCTTTTACAAGAAAATGATAATACTTACTAGCTTTGTGTAAACATTTAATCTATCTATCCAGCCAGGACTCTGAATTCTTTATGCCTTTGGAAGTTTTCATATATGAAATAAGTTATTCTCTTACATATGACTACACGCTTTCACGCTTCAAACGGTAGACTGTACAATAATATTTTTCCATACGGTGTTTGTGACTAGACTAAGAAGATAGGTTGTGATTTGGTGACTTAAGGCAAATGTGTCTATGACAAAAAACTAATTTCTTAGTTTAGTTCTAACTCTATTTTAGTAAAACGCAGGCACTAGGAAAAACGTCCATCAGTAAGCATCAGACTGCAAAACAGCTGTTAATATATACATGACATTTATTCTAATGAAATCTAACTTGCCTTTATATTCATTTACTAAGTCTAAATTTCATTGGTTTATGTGTCTGTTAATTACATTTAAAGTCAAAACCCTTGTAAGACATAAGTAGTAGTGGTTTCGCCACTAGAAAGAGAAAAAAATTACCTTTTCTGCATTTACAGTGAATTCTGAGGCTAAAAGACCACCTTCACTGTGATCATGGCCCACCTCATACATGTTATATGACGGATTGCCAATTTCTACATTAATTCCTCCGTTTATAATGGGTTGTCTTCGGATAGTTTTTGTCCTATAATGTATAAACACACACACACAAAAAAGAATTTAGTGACTCTTCAACTCATTTCTTGGATGTTTCACCCTAAAATAGTACAAACTTTATTTTATTTCTCTTTAATCATTAAGACCAACAGGTTGAAAAAGTGTTTGCTGAGAGACAATCAGAAAATCTTTCCATTTTCAAACAAAGTAGCAATCTGAGTCTCTGTGTAGAACTCATGTAAGCTGGAAGTAGCTTTTCGGTTTTTCTCAGTTTGGCTGTGGCGGTATGAATTCATACCAAGTGCTCACTTGTTGTCTATAACCCTGACTCCCTCCTATTATTTCCAGATTTCCCTCACTTCCCAAGGAAAGCCTTGCAAATTCACTGCAGATTCCCTGCAGTTATGAAGATGGAGCAAACATGAGTCATGTTCCCATGCTCCATTTCACTTCCATCTGAAATCAGTTGCCCAAAGTCGGCTGAAATCTGAGGACAAGCAAATGGTTTCATTATGATGCATTAAAAATGTATGAATGTCTCTCAGTTCCAGTTTGTATTCCCTGCCAGTGGTTATTAGAAAGCTGAAGTCCAACTTGAAATTTTTTCAAACTTTAATAAAAGATGGAATCTTATTTTTAACCTTGAATTAGATATCACTAAAGATAAGTGATTGAGTTGAATTGTTTTAGTTGCTGAATTCATTTCTTTCAGCTAAGGAGGTGATTTTAGTCTAAGCAATTGAAATAACCTCAAGAGGGTAATTTTTCCCAATGCAATATGTTCTCTAGAATTACAAGGGAATAATAGGGAGGTCACAGTCAGGATGATAATAGTCAAGTCCTCTTGTTTGGTTGAGAAAGATGCAGTCAGTGTCTGAAATCCAATACACTAAAGGATCTGTATTTTTCAGAAATAGCATAGAAAAAATATTTCCTAAAATAAGCACTTATCTGTAGGGTACAATTGTTGAACATCTATATCTAGTTTAATACATGACAGCCTTTTTGAAGAGATTAAACCCCCCCCTAAAATACATTTTCAAATATAATTTTAAGTAAAAAAAAAGTTCTTTATTGAGATTAGTTCTATTTCTCTACTGAAGATCTATTATGTAACAAGTTATTTTTACTAACTTAAACAATTTAGAGACCAGCAACTGGTTTTCAGGATTTGGCTACCACTAAACTTGCTTTCTAGGTACAGCAGCATGTAATGACATCCATGGAGCCTGGGAGCATCAGCATTAATAACAGTATGGTCAGGGAATGTATTTATCTTCTTGGCTTTTCAAAAGAGATTTAAAAATTAATGCTTACTAGTTAGCACTAGAGTTTGCAGGGGAGATGCTATGTATGATGCTAGATGATAGTAACTTTAAAGATTCTTTTAGTCTGGAGAACTTAAACAGTCTCAAAAATGGTCACATTTGCAGAAACAATAGATTCATCACATATTTCTAAAGGACTTTACCAAAGAAGACATTATCTTGGTTTCAGAGGTGGGTAACAAGACCCAGGAGAAAGGAAGACAGCTGATTAAGACCAACCAGCTGGCCAACTACAGGCCTGAAGTAAATGGTTTGCTGTCTGATTCCCACCCCAGTTCTTCCCTAGTTGGCCATGTCATTACTAGGAATCTTTCCTTGTTAAATCTGCATCACTGCTAACATCACTTTTTCATTTCTCCAAACACAAGGAAGTTAGCAGGTCTCTCAGGTGTCTGCATACAGTAGAAGCACTCTTGCTTCCCCTGCCACCCAACATGGCCTTTGAAGAAACGGCCAAAGTCAAAAAGTCTACTGCACTCCCTAAGTTCATTATCAATCAGCTCTAGGGCAGCTAAATTCAAGAGAACAAGAAATTCACTGTTTGGTGCTGGAATCTGGCTTCCTATGCAAGATACTAAAGAAATACAGCAATGATGACAAGGGTGGGGACTCTATAGTAGATACTTTGAACATTGTTTATGTCTTCGCTGTAACTTATATAAAATTGAAAAGAACTAATCAAAGTAAATACATTGAAGTGAACTGTAATTAGAAACTGAAAATACTGCACAGGCCCTGTCTGAAAGTATTCATAGACATGAACAATATTAATTATGTGGTTCCAATGAAATACATTAATTCTGTTTACTAAGTTCACTAAATTATAAACACTTATGCAGCCTAGGCGGGGTTGAAGAACTGGATAAGAAAAGAACTACACTTCGTTATGTAGTCTATGTGGAATGTAAGTAAAAATAATATATACGATTGTTCCTGCAAGAACCGCAACATAACTAACTCACTACACACAGAAACAAGTTCTGGGTTGTTTGTTGTGGTTTGGGTTTTTTTTTAATATCTCCTCAACACATATAAAGAGAATTTTTTAATATCAAAAAGATGCACATACTTTAAAGATTTACTTTTTTATTTCACACCTCAATATACAGTTCTTACCTTCGTTTCCTTTTGCAAAGAAATAGTCCAATTACCAGAGTAGTGATCAGAGTCACCAGTAAAACAAGAGGAACAATGATTGCAATGCTTCCTAAAACAGGAAAAGGAAATATTATTAAATACTCACAGCTACATCTAAGAATTTCTTCACAGCTGTAAAACAGTTAAATTAATTCAAAAATAATAATTTATCTCACCAACAAATGTAATTTCATGTGATGATCTTCACTGATTTGAGTTTTAAATGTTGATCAAAAAAAAAAAAATATCATTACAGATAATGGTGTATACACAAGTGCTTTTATCAACAAATCAGGAGCTTCTTCTTTCGGGATACCAATATACTTTGGACAAATTCCCTGCCCTCATTTGCAGTGATACCCTATGAAGGTGTGTGGAATTGCTCAACAATTTGGATTGGAGTGGTATGGCCACTGACCTTAACTGCCGCCATCATCTTCGCTAGTTTATTTAAGTAACGCAACTATTAATTTAAAATATTCAGTAGGCATAGCTCTGATTGAAGAGTTCCATTATTAGCATTTATATGTATTTATTACATTTATTTGTGGGAAAATGAAAAGTAGTAAGCAATATGCCTTGTACTCGAGAGCCAATAATTTTGTTATGTTGATATAGGCAATCAAGGAAACTACAATAATGCTTAATGTAGCAGAAAAACAGTGCACAGATCAGACAGCGATGTTAAAGGAGAGAAGGGAACAGGGAAGAACAAAATGGGCTTAACATTACTTTGGCAGATAACTTTGCTGAAATGAGACTACCTGCAAAAATAAGGTCAGCAATTGTACCCTTCTAAGAATTTCTCAGCTTTAATGTAAGTGTCTGGCAATAAAAAAATACATGTAACAAATAATTTCATGTTATAAAAAACTGGCCCTTATAAACTACAGGACTCCAGTATAAAGCCAATGTGGAATGACATGCGTTTCCTTTAATATCACAATCCTTACCTGGTGGAAAACAAAAATATCGCTGGTTGTTTCATTGGTTACATTTATTGACTTATTAAAAAAATAAGCTGTTAGCAGGTTCTGCTCTACATTAAACGCAGTCTAAATAAAGAATTGAAAAAGGTGCCTTGAATTCTGCCTGAAGGCTTACTGAAAGCCAAGTCAGGTTGTCAGAGGCCTGATATGAAGTACTACTGAATAAAAATTTGAAGCATCCTGAGCTCACTTCAGCTTATGAAGATTCAGCATGTAAAGGACATTACAACAATACTATTTTAAGGTAACATTTGATAAATAACTGGATGAAGTTCTACTTAGGAGGTGAAAAAAAAAGGTTAATTTTGTCTAGGTGGGTAACCTTTCAAGAAAAAAAAAACCAAAAAACCACTTGAAAAACAGCCCACCATGCACGAATTACCATCTGGTGACCATGGTGCAGCCCAGGGTCTTGGAGCAGGCACAAGATGAACACCCATTTCCCAAATCATAGCAAGTATTACCTCAACATGAAATACTGATCTAGGTTTTGGCTGCTTTTTCGCCAATTTCCAGCTGGTAAGTGTTATTTCACTTGTCTGGATTGCTAGGAAGATTTCCTCTAAGCATCAAGCTGACCTGAATAGGGGGCGATTCATTTTACTGCTCCAGTTGGGTTAAATGTGACCGAGAGATGTACAGCAGGGTACCATCAGCATACTCAATGCACCACAGGGAACCTCGTCCAGTTTAAACTGTCAATAGTGTAGCAATACCATCCTTTTATGCTTACAGACGTTTAAAAAAAAACACGACAGGAGCTATTCTTACTTTCAGGATGATTTTCACAGCAGGTAAAATTTAAACCTCTGCAGACAGCCAATGCAGAAGTTATGAACTACTTACAACTCTGTTTTGATGCTTGCAGTAGGACTTAAATGGTCAGAGGGCTCTCACTAGTTCTCTGCATGGCAGTGACGTTGCCTAGCACTTGCCACTTGATACACTTTCTTTAAGAAAAGTGCAGGCTAGCCCTTGAAGCAGAGAATGTATAGCATATGGCTTGCACCCAAACCACCCCATGAAACACGATGTCAATCAAAAACTTGAGAGATCTACATTTGTTGGGGGTTTTGGTTTTGTTTTGTTTTGTTAATACAGGTAACCAGCACATTTCATGACATAAACTCAGGTTCTAAAATATCACCAGGTTAAAATTTCTAAACTGAGCCAAATTTGACAAGTGATGGCAGTTATTTGAAGTACTTACTTGTACTGATATTGTCAGACTTGCTGCTTTTGGGAGCTGGCCTCTCACACTGTGTGCCTGACCAGTTGGCTGAACATCTAAAAGGATCCAATTAAGACGGTAAAGTTAATAGATGTCAGCCATTAACACACTAACCCATTAAAGAGACCACCAGCATCTTCTCAAGAGCTACACGAATGACAGCGATTCTACAAAATAAACAATAAGCTTCATGGAAGGAGTCAGCAGTACTCTGCCATGGCACTTACAACATTCTGAGTACGTTTTTAGTTTAAAACTACAGCTTTGTGTCTTCAGTTCCTGTTATTATCACTGCAATCTTCATTCCCACATCCTTTTCTAAAATTCTTGAATAATAAAACAACAGGCATAATCAACAGTATATTAACATCCTATTAAACCAGCTACCACCTACAATGCAATAATGAGGGAACGCGTGAGCTGGATCCATGCATAGCCAACTTAGTCCAGCAAGGCTTATTTGCTAAGGCACTTTATTTGCACCATATTGCTTTAAAGTCAGCTTTGATCTACAAGCTCTAACAGCCATGTCCGTATTACACAAAACGTATCTGACTTGACATAAACCACTACACGCATCCAGTAACCCCCAGTATCCATACCAATTGGCTCCTCCTACAGTACTGCTGTCCCTCCCATTGCTCTGGATAATGCAGATTACTGTCAAATACTTCTTACAGACCTGGTTGTAATAATTTACTTGAGCACTTAAGACCTATCTTTGACTACTATTCACAAATGAACTGAAATTCCCCTTTTCTTTGCTTTCAGATATAAATGTTTTCCTGAAAATTCTGTAATTTAATGGCTTTATCTTCTTACATTTTGAACCCCACAACTAGATATGTACTTGCAGAAATACATACATGCAAGCAGGTGTGAGAGTTAAAGCATAAAGAGCTGTCCCAAAGGGACAGGAGTCTCTACTGGCTTCACAAGGCCCTGCATACTGTTTATGTTAGGAATATATGCTCCATGAGCCTGGTGCCTGGATGAGTACACAGCCATTCTGCTATAATTTCCTTGCGTGGATATCAATATGCAAATATTCCTTCAGCTGGGATTCAGAATGCTCTCCATGCATACAAGAGGCCATGTCTGCAGACTCAGCAAATCCATAAAAAATGGAAACAAATACCTGAATTAAATTCAATTGCTTATTCATCCTGCTGTAAAGATGATTAAGTTTACTACAGAACCTCAAACTCTCCTTGTGGAAACGGCAGGAAGTAGTCACTTTTCATCTGCCTCTCTTGCATAGTATGCAATGAATCATATTTTTCCTAAGTATTTTTGAATTATTTATGAATTTCAATGTGGGTTATCTTTCATAAAATTCAACAGAGCATTACCTTGCACACAGTTCCAAGAACTACTGTTATCTGATGCCTTTCTAAGGATTTAACAAATTGCAGGGTTTAGAGGTGGACATGCTTAGCGACTGACTTTGTTGTATAATACAAAAAGGTTTGGAAAGGTAGAAAATATTCCAAACAAAAATTGTGGCATTCTTACAGCCACAATTCTCCTAGGACAGCTCTAGCCAGCTTTGCTGGTGATGCTTTTGACTCTCTTTTGTCTTTGCAGATCACTGCAGAAGAATGGCTAGCTTCTCTTTCTTCCTAAGCCTATTCCAGCACAATCCAACATTCAGATAAATCTCTTTACTAGGTTTCTTATTAAGTTTGAAATTTTTGGGGGGAACTAATTTCATTTTTGGTAGGATATGTTACGAAGGTGCTTAACTCAAATTCTAGAGAGGTAGGACACGGTCTTTAAAACATGTTTATTAATAGATAGTTGATTCAAAAATTTTCACACAATAGATGAATTTCATTATAATTTAGAAGTTCTTAATGTTTATTGAAATATGTTTGTTTACTTCAATAAACGTGGTAAATACACACTTAAATTTCCTCACTGCAAAGGATCCCCCCAATTAATTAATTACACACCTTGTGGTTTACAACAACATATTTTAAAACTGAAACTAAGCCACATGGAACACATGATTTTAATCTTTTAAAAGACGCATACGTTCCATTTCTTTACAGATCTCTTTTTAGCAATTATATCAAATGGAAATGATTACACTGACAGCCTACCTTACGAAGATACTATTCAAGGAACTTGTTTTTTCAAAAGATCACTATTCAACATACAGCTGCAAGATAAGTATCTCCATTCTTGTAGAGAAACACCGTAAGTCTTTATACTTAGAATATTCTACTTGGATCCAAACTGTTGGCATCTGACAACCATGAAATAAAGTCTTTACATTTCCTACTGGAAGTTTTGCATCATTGCTGTTGGGGATTCAGCTCATGTGATTAAAGCTTGTTATGAGAGGCAATTTTCATTTAATACTACACTACTGAAAGGGAATGATTTCTCTGAGAGTTAGACATATCTTAACTTTGTACCTAAATCCTTATATAGAAGGTTTCAAACACTTCTGCTGTATAACAGAATCATCACTATAAATCTGTCTTAAAACAGCTTAAAGAATGTAAGATAGTGAGACCAGCAAAAGAATCACTATGAAGCATGCAAGTATAAGCTTATGAGAAAATTGTGTATAATGTGCAATTATGCCCTTCATAATCTTACAGCAGATATGATGCCACAACAGCTGGTGAAGACAGGAATCCTACAGCTATATATGTAGTAAACAGAGGAACAAATTAAGGTAAGAATATTAGCAGTTCTTTACCTATCTTGGCATTTTAATTGTAAAAGTCAGCAATATTGAAACACATCTGAGGCATTTGATAAAAGTCTCATAAAAACATGCTAGCTAGTTGCCACTTCTTTTTCATTTTTTTTTCCAAATGCTTTCTGTCTCCAATAAACTTCAAAGGGACTGAAGCTGACAGGATGGCAGTCATTTCCTTCTACACTCAGAGGTAAAATGATTGCCCTTTTATGGTCCAGCAAGCTAGTAAAGACTTGTCTTGGGCAGACAGAACAGAAAAAAGGAATAAAGCCCAGAGGAAAGGCATGTTGTCTGCAAGGGTATTTGACACAGAAAATTAGCCGTGAGCAGGCACATGAATAATGATGGGGTTGGGACATGGACAACTGTTCACATAGGAACATGGGAAATGAGCAGGACTTAATCAGTTTCAATTATCTTCAGGTACTGTAGACAGAAATTGTTCTTAATAGTAACATTTTCTTGTACTAGGACATTTCAACTCAGCCTGCTCAGTATCTTGCATGGGAACTGACTTGTGGTTCAATCTCATGCACTGTATTTTGTACCTTTCCAAATCATTTGGTAGCAGGAGCTTTTGTTCTGTAGCGTTGCCAATAGTGGTACGGTCAGAGATAGGATATTTACAGCATGGGCAAGAAGGCATTAATGAAGAAGAACTACATAAATCCACTGGTTTCCTTGAAGACATTCATATTATCAAGAACTGGGAAGAAAGAACAGTGATAAAGCCTAATCTGAGCTACACATAAACAAATGCAGATGGAAACAGATGGGGAGCCTGACAGCAAAGGACAGGTTGGAGTCAGCTGAGTGGTGGAAGGTGCTACAGCGAACATCTTAAGGTGCAAATCTCCATTTCCCAACAGAATCGGTGAACAGATCAAAGAGCAGCAATATCACAGAGAATGCCAATATGAAAACTGAAAGCCAATGTAATAAACAAAGGTTGTACATGGTCTGCTGCCAAGGTCATTGATAAAACTATGCTACAGCGCTCTCTGTTACAATTTAGTTCTACATTTAGAAAGAGGTGACTCCTTGGGAAACATGTTCTGAGACAGAGAATGCCTACGCAATAGCAATTACTTATTTTGAGGAAATAGCATTGCAGAAGAGAGGTTTTTTAAAATTTTAAACTGAAATTATAAAGGTGTCCCACTTGCAATGAGGAATATTTAGAATTAAGGTATTTATATTTCAGAGATGGATCATGCTGTTGTTAGAGAATCTATTCATGAGAGAAAATGTCTCTCTCCTCTATTTTTGTATAACCCTTACAGGTCAGTGCACTGAAATACTCGAAACTCAATTATACGGGCACTTGCCCAAAAGGAACCATTTGACTATGAAATGTCTGAACAAATAGAAAAAACTAGTAAAAAGGCTAATTTGGCTGCAGTGTGCAATTTTTTTCTAGTTTTGTTTCTCTTTTCTCCCTTTTTTTTTTCTGTGCCACAGGTAGTGTCATAAAAATATAATATAGCAGGCATAATATGCAGTTAAAAGTGCTTTTGTAGACAACTGCTTTCCAACTCAATATACCAGTGCATATCAAAAAAATGACAGAAAGCAGCATTGAAAGATTAGTCTAGAAAGTATAACAGAATCTGTGAAAGTCATTACAAAAGAGAGGTGGAAGGGGAATTGAAAATGTTTCTTACCTATAAATGGTATTTCTTCATTATACAAAGTAATTTTCTAACTTTGTTATTCTTTTTAGTCATGGCATAGATAGTAATGTATAGTAAAACATCCTAATGAAAGTATCCAGCCTCACTATTTTCAGAACACTTACATTAAAATTCCACCATAAGATGTCTTATCATTAATATTAAAACTATGTGTAAGATGAGAGAAGAGGACATCTGGATTATACTTATTTACTACCTGTATTAAGTTGCATTGGAAGACAGAAGTCAAAATAGTCCCTCTTCCCCCAAACTCTGTAGGATGACAAAATCCTTGCACCAAACTAAATCACTGAACTATTCCTTATAATAAAATCAGCAATACTTTTGGAAGTATGCTTTCTTCATACAGGGAGCTGATATTATAGAGTTCTACCCACAGATAAACCCTCAAGGATACAAAGAACTTTCACAACAATGAAAGAACAAAAAACCTACCCCAGCTTTGATCAATAGCACATCTTGTACTTTCTCCTATATTGTGGGGTTCAATTATTTTCAAATAATAATTTTTCCTTAATATTTTATACAAGAACAGAATGCATTTTAGTACTTCTGTCTAATGAGCATCACTTGGTATCTTTATAAGGAAATCAAAGTGAAAGAATTCAATGTAGAAGCTAAGGTGATAGAAAATCTACATTACTTG